ATAGATAGATAGATAGATAGATAGATAGATAGATTGATTGATTGATTGATTGATTGATTGATTGATAGATTGATAGATTGATAGATTATTTGATAGATTGATTGATAGATTGATAGATTGATAGATAGATTGATAGATAGATAGATAAATAGATAGATAGATATGAAGAGTAATTCGGTTTCGATTCGTCTCATGAGGTAAAAGTGTTGAAGAGAGAGTTTCATTTCGTATGCAAGTGCATGAAGAAGAGATTCAAAGGTCGATCTCACCAAAAAAGAACATCTTATGCCCGTTGTGCTGCAGCCGTTTTTGGATTTAGTACGACGTTCTTGTTGACGTAGTCCACAAGACCTCCCTCGCTTTGGGTAGAAACGGGCTGATCTTTCATCCATTATCGTCTTAAATAAAACTCTCCCCGACAATGTTAGCCCATTAGATTCGTCGAAACCGAGTTACTCTTCATATATATAAATATATGAATATATGTATATTTATATCTATATCAATATAATTTGATATTAAGCTGCGAGTCAATACATAATTCGAGCTAAAACCGGCCAGTCTTCTTCGCCTAATGTGTTAGCTGGAATTCTTTGCAAGAATGGTTTTCACCCACGCACCAAAATGCAATGAGCTTCGAATCTCGTCTTCAGAAAATTTCACTCGAGAGTGAAGTGAGTTCAATAAATGCTGCAGGTTTTTATGGTAAATATGCAATCCTAACAAAAAAAGTAAATATAAAAAGTTATAGATACATATATGCATATGTATAAAACGATTTGTCCAGTCGTTTTTACTATAAATATAGGTACTCATAACTTATTGTGCTTCTGCGCATGCGGAATATGAAACATTGAATAAAAGCTCAGTTTCGAGCCATTTTTTTTACTGAAAATAGGCGTAATAAAGAGATGCAAGTAGGTCGGTACTATCAAAAGACGACATTAAAATTCTTCTTGTCGTCTATCTGTTGGCTTCTGTTTGGCAATGTCCACGAGGCTAGCTCTTTCGATTTAGCTGAAGATGAATTGAGCTATTGTCTGACTTCACTTGAAAAGTCATCAGATCTCTGCATCATTCTTGAGAGCCTATTTATGCCAACGGGATTGCCTTCGAGCCTCTTCATCAAACATTTTCTCTCGAAGCAGAAGTGAGTCGAATAAATTCAGCCAGTTTGTATGCAAGTGAAGATATAAACTTGTAGATAGATAGGCATAGACTTCGAGTAGACAATTATTTTATATCTTTATTTTTTAATTGAGTTTCGATTGAGCCTATGGTTGACTATTGTTGAGCTTGTGGTTTGGCTTAAGCCCCTTTTTGAGCAGCAATTTAGGCGAGCGGGTCTCATGAACCCCGAGACTGTTGCACGGCGGTCCTCGACGACTCAATCTGTGAGTGGATCGCCGTGTGTCTGTGCTTCCGTCCGTGCCTGTGTGCGCTTGTACTGTCACCACTTGACCGGGCCGAATCGGACCGAGCAAACCGGCCAGGAATGACATCAGCTGACGAGGCGGGCCGTCGGACACAGGGGTGGAGAAGAGATGCAAGGCGTCAAGCGGTTGCTGAGGCTGGTTCTGCTGTCATGGCGGCGGTGAGGTCTACTTGTGTCTGTGTGTATATATATATATATATGTGTGTGTTTGTGTGTGTGTGTGAAGGAGAGAGGGAATGAGGGAGACGGTGCGTCGAGGAGGAGCAGATTAGTGGAATGGGTGGGAGGGACGAATGGAAGTGAGGGGACGATGCGAGAATGATGTTGATGTTGTTGTTGTTGTTGATGATGATGATGGTGGTGATGAAAGTGAACTTGCTCAAGTGCCATTGAGACGTCCGGCCGGATCCGGTCTGCCGGTACCGACTCGGCCCGCCCGTATGCTTGGCTCGCTTGCGCTGTCTGCTTATTTGCCTTACCCCACATTGCCGGCCCCCACCTTGCCTGGCCACACTCTCGCCCCATGCCCCTCCCGTCGGGTCGACTTGACGACTTCCCCTCTTGCCCGCGCCCGGCCCCTATCGCCGGGCCAAGTGGCTGGGATACCTACACAATATTAGCTGGTTCAGTTAAAAGCCTATAACCAAATCATACACAAACATAGCATCAACGACCGTCGTTTCACACACCTTTCGTCTCCGCCTGGACGACAGCGTGTCCCCATGAATCTTCTCGATAATAGAATTTGCGTTGATTGGGTGTGAACTGGACGACTGGACGCAGTTTAAGGCCGGCCAATCAAAGGAAAGTGGGGACGGGAGGTGAATGAAAACAAACAAAGACAGTGCACCTCGTGGCCCTCACCAACCCCGCGCCCCGACTTGCCTCCGTCCGGAAGCAGCAGTTGTGCTGTCGAGACTTGGCCTGGTCGCTTGGTTGATACAGGATAAGGGTGGACGCACAAACAAACAGATGCACACAAAGAAAATGACATGCACACACACCGATGCATGCATGCAAACAGGCAGACGAATTATGTTGCTTTGGCGTAAGGTGTCCGCCCGGTTGCCTCATCAGCTCAT